CTAAATCTGAGTTATATGAATAATATATGTACAATATAAGAGTGTATGTGCATTACTGAATATGTATATCTACATGTGTGTGTTTATATGCAAACCAAGTGGCCTTTACAGTGTGGAGAGCATAATGTGAAGGTGTCTGTGAAGTGTTCAGCAGCCTGATGGAAACAGCTCATCTTCACATTCGTAACAGTAAATGTGTTTGTGTAGCACGGATGGTTCAGATGGAGATATCACATGACTGAGAAGGCCAGACCCAGAGTTTGTGTTAGTCTTTTACGTCTATTTGTTATAACCAGGAGGTTTAGTTCTCTTAGATTTCTGCAGGAAACCCACAATATGAAATACTCAGATTAAGTTTCTAGCATTTAATCAATTTAGTGTCACTCCAGGAAGATAAGTGGCGTTTCCAACAGGCCGTCACTGACGGGCTGCGGCTCAGGCTTTACTCTGTCAAATAACTCTTCCCATCCCAACTCAGGTCAATGTGGGCAAGATGGATTCTCCCATCGAGAAGTGGAATCTAATCATCGGGAACCTGGCACTGAAGCAGGTAATCGCTCACCGTGATGTCTTCATTGTGAGAGAACGTTTTCATATAAAATGAATCAATCCTGCTTTGTTTGCTTTGGCATGAGCTGCAGTTTTATTAGTTTCTCTTCCTTTTCACTGGGAGCAGTTTTTAGAAACACCTTTTACTCAGGAGTTTTTTCCCTTTTTGTTCATGACAAAAAACATTTAATTGTATTTTATATGTTGAATGAAATATCACAAATCTGTGATAACATTAATGCAGTGCTATGGCTAATGTCCAGTGTGTATACATTGATACGGTGCACGCGGTAACTGCTCGGACCGTGCGGGTGTTTATTTAGACCAAAATCTTTGACTGTGTCGTCAGACCGAGTACAGGCTGTGTTAATGATCTACATATGTACTGATAAACACACAACAACATGACATATGTAATGATAAAGTCCTGCGTGTAACGTGTCACCAGGAATTATCAGGGAAAAATGGACGTCATTTTGTGTCATTAATAAGTCTGGATCATCTCCTGCCTCTCTGCCCCAGGTTCAGGCCACTGTTGTGGGTTTCCTGGCGGCCGTAGCAGCCGTGGTTCTTGGTTGGATTCCAGAGGGGAAGTTTCAGATGAGCCACGCTGTGTTGCTCTGCTCCAGCAGCGTGGCCACGGCCTTCATAGCCTCCCTGCTGCAGGGTAAATACACACACTGTGACACTGTGGTGATGCTGCTGCTGCTTCCCGTCAGGCCTTTTTTAACACGTACATGTTCAGTTTCCTATAATGTGACGGCTGTGAGTAATGTGCTTATCCTCTTGATGTCATATTTAGGTATCATCATGGTGGGGGTAATTGTGGGCTCGAAGAAGACGGGGATTAACCCAGACAACGTAGCCACACCCATTGCAGCCAGTTTTGGTGACCTCATAACCTTGGCGATCCTGGCCTGGATAAGCCAAGGCTTGTACAAGTGCCTGGGTAGGTCCTACCTTTACTACACTTGCATATGTTCTGA